CGCAGGGGAGCGCTCGTGCCCCCGCGTCGACCTCCCACACTCCCCTGGAAGATTGCCAATACGGAACAGGCACAAAAAACGTGTCAGATACAGAGTGAAAAGCTATTCAGCCTTGACTTTGGTCCGAAGACCACTGGAAGAAAGAATGCTAAGTGGAAAAAGGGGTCAAAGAAATTTCGTTTTCTTCACTGATGAGGTGCAATGCTCACCACCACCTGGAAATAAAATTCCTTCTTGAAAACAAAGAACCCAAAGTCACACGTGTTACCACCTGCCCTGAACAGTTAGGTACAGACATTGCCCTCCCCTTAGCACTGGGGTAGGATAATTTAAAAAAACTTCCCTGCCACTTATCTCCCTAGTAGGCAGTGTGCATGTCACGAAAATAAAATTCTCCCCTTAAAAAGCATCCCGATGGCCTGAAACAATGACCAAGCTAACAGAGCCAGGAGTCACAACTTTTTTTTTCTTTCTTTTTTTTAATTTAAGAGCCATCGCCTTGCTGGTTGGTTCGAGCGCCCTCATGTGTCTCAACAGAGTAACGTGACTTTAGGCCTTCCGGAGGGCTAGAGGTAACGACAGATTCAATGACACACAGTAACCTCTTCATCCCGTTTCAAGGCACCTCTTGTGAAACGAAAGATTTTCAGATTGCCCCCAGGACTATGAATTTGTCCTCCCTGATGTAAAGTGACATCGTAACTTGTACCCGGAAGAACGAACGGGAAGCCGAGGTTCACAGAAGCGGAGGCTAATTTCAACTTCTTGCCTGTTCTGGTTTAAACATGTTAGGTCATCCTGCTTATTTCTTTTTCCTCCCCCCAACCCAGACCGAGGGGCAGAGCTCTAAGCCTGCATACCCCCTCCTCCAATGCGGGGCTCGCACAACTGAAGAACCCAGGGCTGCCTCTATATTAAGCAAATCTCAGGAGACCTAGCTCCATCTTCCACTCTATGACCAAGGGCTAAGCCTTTCTTCTCTCTGGGTCTTGGGCTCTTCCTCTGGGAAGAGAGGATAGTGGTTCATTTCTCACAGATAAGAAGCATCTGCAGAAATGCCTGGCAGAGAGTAGATAGGCACCCAGTAAATGTTAATTGAATGCAAACCTACAAACTCTCACACACACCTTGCCGCTTTGTCTTCCTTTTCCTTCTCCTTCTTTTCCTTAAGGTTCGGAAGGCATGACTCAACCTTCCAACCATACAGTCAGGCCCAGAATTCCCAAAGCAGAATAACAATGATGCCCCAACCTTGGTCACTATGGCAGACCCGCCTTGATGGGTCTAGCACTCTGTTAACAACAAAAGAAAGATTTATCAAGAAACCATGCTCCCGGGTTCCTCTCACCAATTCACCATTAGCCATTCACCACTTAGCTTTAAGCTAGCCAAATCCAGCAAAGCTCCAGAGATTTTTGGCTTAATCTTCTCACTGAACTCACGCCAGCCTTGCACGGGCACAGCCAGGGCATCATCACCCAGCCTTAGGTGTTGGCAGATTCTCCCACCCACCTCTTTGCACTCTCCCTGCTCAGGGGCAATGGCAAAGCGTCCCCTCTCCTCCCCCCCACTGCACCTGGGGCGCCTCCAGCTCACAAAGGCCGGGCTGGGGGAGATGTCTCATCTACTGGAAATATAGTCAAGTCCTCTGTTAGGTAAGCCTACTGCTTTAACAGAAGCCAGAAAGTGCCTGACCAACAGACGTGCTCCATATATCTTGTCAACTATAAACATCATAACCAGTGAAAGGGGAAGGAAACACCCTGATGTATATTGCCCCCATTACCATTAAAGTAGGAGACAGGTTTTTTCCCCCCAAGAGAAGTTCGTGAAATAATTGATAATTTCCATTTTATTTAAAATAGCTTGTCCTTTCCTACTGCTACCATCACTGTCCAGGGCCTTATCAACACGAACATATTACTAACTGGTCTTATAACCTCCATTCGTCTCTCCCTTCCAATCGTCGTAAGTATGATCAAAAGATCTTCCCCAAACACTGACTGCAACACATTCTTTACCAATTCCTACTTAAGAAGGCTTGCGGACTCCCTGTTGCTTGCAGGACAAAATTCGAGCTCGGAAATCTGCTATTCAGACTCCCCCTATTGTCTCCTACCACCCCGGAGAAGTTACAAAAGAACCAGACATCACCTCCAGAGTTCCAGACTCTTACACCTCCAGACTCTTACATCACTGCTATATCCAAATCCAACACGAGAGCACGATGACTGTGGACCCTCAGATATCCTTGAACTGAAATCTAAGTAGAAAGGCCCAGTGTCAACTTCACAACTTTTCCTCTTTGGAAAGAGACTTCACCTTGGGCGTTTCCACTTAGACTCCAGTTCCCCCCTTTGACATTCAAGAATGTCAGAGATGGGAATGACCTGATGCCCCCCCCCCCCACCCCGCCCGGCCCCCCGCCCCCGGTTACATTCGCACCAGTGCGGCAGGCTGCTGTTGGATTTCTTCAGAGGATAGCTTATCTGTCCTTGTGAAACACTTCACACAGCCGGCAATGAACCTCCAGGCACGTGATAATCAATGAGTGAAATAAGAAGGAACAACAAATCAACATCAGAGGAATCACAAAACACATCCAGACACTTGTAGGACATTCTGTTCTGGTGGCCGCACCAGATAATGGGAAAAAGAATATAGATGGGAGAAATCATCACTCTACACCCTACAAAGCCAGTAGCCAACAAGGGGAAAGTGCAGCAAGAGAAACAAACAGCGCTGCCTTTAACGAAGAGAAATGGCTAAGGAGGTGGAGAATGCTGAGGAACAGAAAGCAAGATCCTCGGGGGAAAGATGCATGCATCTATTCTCTTGTCCTCCCTCTAGGAGAGAACACTGAACCATTATATTGCATTCCCATACATCGACCACTCCTGCCTAAAGCAGTGAAAACAATTTCTGAGCTTTCCAGATACGAACTCTTTGAAAAATGAAATAATCATAGCTTTTTCCTAAATTCGTAAAAAGCAAAAACAGCAGTTTACATCTTTCCCACACTGACCCTTCCTTGAAGACCCCTTCATGAAGCCTTCCCCACATCGCCACCCAGCGTTGACCACGCCCTTCTCTTACCACACAAGGTCCTCACATCCTGACCCTTTAGGAAATACGACTGAGGTTGACCATCTCCCCAACTTGACTGCAAGCTCGACAACAAGAATCCTGACTTTTCCTTCTCCTGTATCTTCTTCTGTATCTCAGCCCCCAACACGCAGCCCAGGAGGTACTTGAGAAATACCAACACTGTCACTCAACCTAAATGGAAATGTACTTATTATTTAGTGAAAATGTGAAAATTCCCTTTCTTTCCTTTAGAAATTTCCGTTTTCCTTTATTTCCTCTATCCTTTTTTCTAGCAAACTTGGTCCTTCCCAAAAAACCCTTTTTGCAAGGGAGGGTGGGGCCGTAACCACTCAGCAAGCCCACTCCCCTCACACACACAGAGCAGAGTCTTGGTTTGTGGTTAGGAGAGTTGGCGTTGTTTCTTCCACCTTTGAAGGTGTTAGGATTTAAACTGAAACCACTGCCTTTGCAAGATCATCTTGTTCCTGCCTGCATGAATCTCCAATGGCCCTTTTGCATTTACATCCCGAAAATGTCTGAAGGTTGTCTTGCTTAATCCCTTCACTGCACCCCAGCCCTTAATGTAATGCCCACTTTTTTTTTTTTTTTTTTTTTCCCTGATAAGTCCTCTCCTGGATCATCAGCCTCCTTCACAAGTTAAGGACATGCCTCAGTGCTGCCTACTTATAAGAAAATATGAGCTTCTATACCAGGCATGATTTGTGATGCCACTGTAATTTCCCCATTAAGTCTAGAGCTTAGCAGCCCTCTCTCCTACACATTCTGCTCTTTTCCTACCCCTTCCCAGTCTTGCCTGCCCCCTTACTCTCTCCCCGCCCCCAAGAAATGAACTGGTTTACCTAGCAGGTTTCATCTTGCTTCGGCCAGCTTATTGTTTCAACGTGATTATGAAGTCCCCTGGCTTGAAAACACAGTTTGTTAATTTCCAGGCATTCACGATGTCTCCCTGCTGAGTTTAGTGTGTGGAGGTGTGCATGTGTATACCTGTGGTAACTAACACTCCTGGGCGTGCAATCTTGCTGGTGACTAAGAAGATGGAATCAAGGTAAATTTGTGTAACTGGAGAATCATAGTTTTTAGAGATGTAAGGGATGCTAGACTTCGATGTTGGCATTTCACAGATTGGAAAACAGAGGCAGAACAAGGTAAAAGGACTTGGCCAAGGTCACAAAACTAATCAGTAGAAGAACGGGGGCCACCACTCAGAGCTGTCCTATCCCAGTCCATCAGGGCCCTTCCACTCAGATGCGTCCCTCCTCAGGGGTTCCTATATGTGAGTGAGAACTCAGGATGCCCACGTGCAACCAAAGTGCATCACAGACCTGTGAATATGTATGTGCCAACAAGATGGGGACAGTGCCGTGCATGTAGCTTACAAGGTAGACAGTATGCAGTAAAATCAGACTGAAACGGCTGTAATGAGGTTCAGTTCGAATCCAAAGAGACCACACTTCACATCCTGCAGATGCTGCCCATTCCCCACCCCCTGTAGATCATTTGAAAAAAAAAATGTATTTCCAAAAGCACCTTGTTCAGACTTTCATGATTTTCCCTCAGTTCGATCAATACACAGTCATCCCTTAACGCCATGAAAATAGCTTTTCACACATCCATGCACACACCGTCACACACACACACACACACACACACACACACACACACACGTAAAACATTGGCAGCAGGTACTTTTAATTTGCTGGAAAATATTTCTAAGAAGTCAAACAGCTCCAGCCCAATGAGAGTGCCCTCCGATTGGCTAGCCAGACCAGTTGAAGGACCTGATTGGTCCCTGATCCTAAGGACCGATAAGAACGGCTATAAAATCCCTGGGTGCAGCTCTTGGGCCCCCAGTTTGCAAAAGCCAGAGGTGCAAGAAGCAGCCACTGCAGCAGCAGCAGCAGCAGCAGCAGCAGCAGCAGCAGCCAACAACAGCAACAACAGCAGCAGCAGCAGCAGCCACAGCAGCAGCAAAAGCGTCAGCAGGAACAGCATCAGCAGCAACAAAAAATCCTCATCAAATCCTCACCTAGGCTTTCAGTGTATCCAGATCCACATCTTCACGCAAGCCGGGAGAGGGAAAGAGGAAAGGGGGGGAGGAAAAAAAAAACCCAACAACTTAGCGGAAACTTCTCAGAGAATGCTCCAAAACTCAGCAGTGCTTCTGGTGCTGGTGATCAGTGCTTCTGCAACCCATGAGGCGGAGCAGAATGATTCTGTGAGCCCCAGGAAATCCCGGGTGGCAGCTCAGAACTCAGGTAAGCGGCAAACCCAGGACCGGTTTCTCCCCCAAAGAGCTGTCCTCATTTGCCTCTCGCTTTTGCAACTGTGTCTGTGACGGCTGATCTTGATAATAAATGTGCTTCATGCCTGATGGCAATAAACTGCCAGTGTAATCCAATAGCCTTAGGAAGTGGAGCTCCTTTGTTTAATAAATTGCATGCAACTAACGAAGAAGCCGGGCGCTCTGCTGAGGGTATTTCATTGCATAAGCCTACTAGCCTGATTGCCTGAAATCTGGCACGTACCCTCTTGGGGGAGGGGGGGAGGGGGCGGGGGAAAGGCCTGAATGTTGGCATGCTTCAAAGCGCTCTCTATACTTTCCAGAAGCTGAAGCCGATCTTAAGGTGAGACACGGTTTGTCTGATGCTGTCCCCCTTTCTTCACCCTTAAGTCCCCATAACTGGACTTCCCTGCCCCTTCAGAGAACACACAGAAAGCTCCCTCTGCAGACAGATTTACCGAACCATAGCCCTCAAGGCTGACAAATCCCGGGCAGATGCAGAGAAAACCCTACACATCCCACCCCTGACACTGCTCCTTCTCTTCCTCCCGGCTTTCTCGCGCCTTCATTCAGCTGCCCGTGCAGTGCAGCCCGTGGCCAGAGGGCCCCCTTGAAAAAGAGTATTTGTGAAATGTAGCAGCTGTTTCTTCAAGGGGAAGGTCTCGCTCTCGTGCTGACTCCCAGAGCAGTTAATTGTGTATTATCTTGGTCTCTAAAGGAAAAGAGTCCTTAGGAAGCCGGTATTAACACCTCTGCCTTTTGACTTCACTTGTCCAGCCTGCCCCTCTGACATTACTGCCCCCACTCCCCTGACTGTCAGCAAAGATGGGATCGCAGGTGTCCAAATGCTGCAGACAACGCTCCTCTCCGAAGAGCACAGGTCCCTGCCCAGAGGAGGGCTTTGCTTCACTTCCTTTTGTACTTAGTTGCTATAGAAATGCAGTGATTCACAATTCGAGCTTGCCTAAAACAATAGCAACCCTAATGCATATTAAAACTGCTTAAAGCAAAGTTATAATTTGAACCCGTGGAAATATATAATTAGGGAAATGACTTGTAACATCCCAGAGGCTGCGGGTGGTGGGAGGGGGAGGGGAAGCCTAACCGAACCAGGCTTTTGATCTCAGAGGAGAATCCTATGGTATGAAGGCTGCAGATCATTTCTTGCCGAGCTGCTTGCCAGAACACCCCCCCCCCCTTTCTGTAGGAGAGAAATTACTTTTATGGGAGATCTTATCCAGAATGTAGAAAGCCTCATGCAAGTTCTTTGCGGTTTTCTTCCAGTCTTGCACAAGGGGTGCCTTGGCCTTGTTATTCCACACCTGTGTTTCTTTTTAAAAAAAAAAAAAGAAGGAGAAATGGCTTTTAATATGAGAGAGATTATGCATACCTCTAAGCACTGTCCTATGGTGGGGGCTGGGGTGAAACATGAACGGACCAGATTCCTTTCTGCCAATATGAAGGTAACTTAGCAGCCCTAAATTGGAAGGGTCTCCAGGCGCACTCCTTGGCAAATGGTCCTCTGCCATTTAGACTAAAATTCCATTCTTATTACTCCGGAGTGCGTTTTCAGAAGCCAAATGGACTCCCCGGCCCTTCTACTTCCTAAACCTGACCCCCAGCCATTGCCTCCTGCCTTCCCGGGCTTTCGGGCTCTAAGTGATACCCTCTGATGCTGGAGAGCTGTTTCAAGCACTGTGCATTCCACAGACTCTCACCTTACTCCTCCGGCCACCCAAATTGTATGTGATGGTGAGACCAACAGGGAAAGCTCCTGCCCTCTCCTTCCACGTGCAGGAGGGATCTGCCTGGCCTGCCCCCGACCCCACCCCCTCTGAACGGGTCTATCTACTGGCCCCCTCGCAGACGTCCGAAGAGAAGTTCTTCTGACCCCTTGTCCTTGAATGGCGCCCCCTCGACCCTTCCGAATCACCCTCACTGCTTGACCCAGATTGGATGGATTTGTCTCTTTCAGCTGAAGTGGTTCGCTGCCTCAACAGTGCTCTGCAGGTTGGCTGCGGGGCTTTTGCCTGCTTGGAGAACTCCACCTGTGATACAGATGGGATGTACGACATCTGTAAATCCTTCTTGTACAGCGCTGCTAAATTTGACACTCAGGTAAGCAGACCTTGACCCCTGCCTTCCACTGGCTGCTTGTCGTTAACAGTGTGCTAGACTATTGTTCTTAGGAACTAGTCTTGTAGGGAAGCAGCTGTGCTTCTCAGCCTCCTCAACCGAAATCCCCAGCTCCAGCGTGTGCACGCACACTCCCGCGTGTGCACGTGCACGTGTGCACGCACATGCACACACACACACACACACACACACACACACACACACTTTCGGCCAGGAAGCCGGTTCTGTACGAGACGCTCCCCACCCTCTAATGCACGATTGTCACACACTGACACAAGTTATCATATAAGGGAGGGGTGATGACCAGAAAATCCTCGCCTCTTCAAGAGGAAATAAAAATGTTCTTCCAACAAGGAAGTTCTCACTGTAGGACCCAGCATCCTGGCTTGTGAGTTGAGTTATCAAAGTCTCGATCCCAAGACAAAACCGCATCATGGCTACGTTCAAGCTGCAGGGTGGCTGATTGTGGGTCTGTCTCTTTCTTTCTCCTGTCTCGTTATTTCTACGGAACTCAATTCTGAAGGTAGTCTATGAGAGTAGGGACATTTTTTTTTTTAAATCCTGGTCGCGGCATGCGAAGACATACAGACGGCCAGGGGACCGCGCCAAGGCAAGCCCCCTAAATTTCCACATATTGTATGCCCCGTCCTCTCTGGGCAGCTCGAGCTAAAGCTTCTCCTCCTACCCCTTGCCTGGCAGGGAAAAGCATTTGTCAAAGAGAGCTTAAAGTGCATCGCCAATGGGGTCACCTCCAAGGTCTTCCTCGCCATTCGGAGATGCTCCACTTTCCAGAGGATGATTGCTGAGGTGCAAGAGGAGTGCTACAGCAAGCTGAATGTGTGCAGCGTCGCCAAGCGGAACCCCGAAGCCATCACCGAGGTGGTCCAGCTCCCCAATCACTTCTCCAACAGGTACAGAATGAGTCCGCTTTTTTGCGCTGGGGAGGGAGGGGGGGCAGGGCGGTGGCAGAGCCAGACACAGAAGGGGGTTAATTGCCACAGTCATGATCTTATTTTAGCTTGCAGCCTTCCCAGCTTTTGCAGGGAAAATATGTTTGTGATTGGTTGTGACAGCTTAAGCAGCCTGGATTTTTTTTTTTCCTCACTGTTATAGGAAAAGTCTTTCCATGCAGCTAATAGAAAGCTCCATCTGTGGCATCCCTGAGTGCATTTTCATTGTCAGTTTCTCACAATAAGCCTGAAGGGCATTGTGAAGTTTATGGACACAAGCTTTTGAGATATCACGTTTGGCTGAAATTACGACTATGCACGGTACAGTTGGCCATTATAAAAACCCCGGTCAAATGTCATAATGCAGACTTTTAAAAAAATTTTTTTAATGTTTATTTTTGAGAGACAGAGAGAGACAGAGCACGAGCAAGGCAGGGGCAGAGAGAGGGAGGCACAGAGTCCGAAGCCGGCTCCGGGCTCTGAGCTGTCAGCACAGAGCCTGATGTGGGGTTCGAACTCACAAACCACGAGACCATGACCTGAGCTGAAATCAGACGCTTCACTGACGGAGCCACCCAGGCGCCCTTTTTTCAAAAATTTTTTTAATGTTTATTTGTTTTTGAGAGACAGAGAGCATAATGCAGACTTTTAAATCCGCATGTGTTCTGAGCAGTCCCAAGCCCAAGCACATATTCCAGTAGGTAGCCCAGAATAAGCCAGGTCACTTCACTGGGGACGCAGATTTCCTTTGTGAAAAGTGAGATGGCTGGACTAGATGATTCCCCCTCCCAGGCCCATGTTAGTTCTTTCTCTAGTCCAGAATTTCCTGGAACGATGTTTCTGGCAAGTGCTCATATTCTCATCTGAGTATTCTAACATGACCCAAAACCCCGGAAGTAATCCTAGCTGAGCGCCGGCCTTTCGGTGCTGCCGACTCACTGTCTTTACCAGCCGGGAGTGGACACCCAAGACACGGGAGGGCTGACATGCTCATTCCACGACCTACAAAGTTGCCCAGCAAGACCTGGGCTTCCCCAACTGCGATCAAGTTAGGAGAGGTGCCGGTGGGGCTGGCATGGAGGTATGGCAGGGACAGTGAGGCTGGGACGCGTTGAGCCCTACTGTGATGCCACACGGCCTGAAACTCGCCGCCTAGTCCTGAAGCACGATGATCCTTTGACTCCCCAGCCAAATCTGCACACACTGACAAAGATCAGTCCTATTACCTATTGCCCGGAGCACCGGGGAGCTAACATGAGCCTCCCTGCTTAATCTCCTAGCCAGGTTCTGTTCCTTCTTCGGGTAGCACCAACAGCCTGCTCCTCCAGGGGCTTACCAGTGATTTAGTCACACACATGTATGCAAGTAGAAGACGGGAAAGGTAGGTCTTCCTTAGGGAACTGCTAAAGGCCCCTGACATTAAAACTCTGTAAAATTTCTGATTCACACTGAAGCACACGGTAAAGGCTCTCCAGAACCTCATGTCAACTTATAAAATCATTTGTTCGGTACTGAGAAGCGACCGTGTCCTTGGGTCCTAGCTGATTGCCTCAGAACAAGAAAATCAAATCCCACATTTGTCTCAAATGGCCTATCTCTTTATATTGATCTTGGTCTTAAAATTCTCCCAAAAAGATTCTTGTGACATCTGAAGAGAAGAAGGAAAAAATAAAATAAAATCGCTGGCTAATTGTTGGAGTCTCCCTTCGGCACAAAGGAAGGAAAAAAAAAAGAAAAGAAAAGAATTTTTAGTAGACAGGGGCTAAGGACAAAGTATGTGTTTGTGGGGCAGCTGGCGGGGGCAGGGGTATGTTGGCAAAGCCACCGTTGTAAGTCTAGACCGTTAAGGGTCCTGTGACAATTTGTGACTTACAATATGGCATGTGACCAACTTTGAGGCGATGCGAACCTCTCGATTCCAACTGAGGTCATATCTTCCATTTATAAAGGGAGAGGTCGTATAGAAAGGATAATACAGACTCTGGACTGGTGATCCTAAATATCTAAGAAGCGACTAGGAATAGGAGTTTTTAATCAGGCCACTCTTGCTTTCAATGGGCTTTCTTTTACACCACTTCTATCAGATGGCCACAGGAGCCTGGTCATGCCCCTTTTTCATCTCGGGAAATCACGCTTATTCGGACAGTGGGGGAAAGTGGCCATCTCTTGAAGACCAGAAGCTTCACGCAGCCCTTTCTCCCATTATTTCACTTCAACTGGTTAATATTATTCCTGCTCCGAACTGTAGAGATTTCCGGTTCCTTGCTGGGCTTGGTTTGCTCTATTTAAGCTCCTCACTCTCCTGAAACATCCTGCTTTCCCAGCCTCTGTCCCACCACAGAGACACATTAAGTTGTGCCAGTTGGCACCGAATTGCAAAGGGAAGTAGTTACAGGTTCATTCCACCTTCCTGTGACTTATCTAGCATGAGATTTGGGCCTGGGAGAATCCAAAAGCCTGTGACTGGACCAGGAGCCAGAACAGGGACGTTTTCCACAGGAGAAATGCGCTCAGAAGACAAAGGAGAGTTGGCTGTCCCCCTGGCTGAATTCGCAAACTGCTCTCTTAGCCCTGAGGGACACAGGCAAAATTGATCAGGCAAGCTGGGAGGCGTGAGGCTTGGGAAGAAATCAGACCAATCCAGATCCAGGGTGGGAAAACTGACAAAGCTTCCAGCTCTCTAGGGCATGGATAGGGAACAGGAAACAGAAGAATAATATTGATCAAGGGAAACAAAGGACTATTTATAAACCCTCACACAGAACGTTCCTAGGCAGTATGTGTGTATTTGGGTAAAGCATGGCTGAAACAGTAGCTATGGAGAATATCTGATGTTATTCTTTACCAAGAAAAAAAAAAAAGGTCAGGGATGGAATTTTCAAAGTGGGAGGAAAGAAACATGCTTTAGAAGGTCCTTCCAGGCTGGGTGATCAGAGCACTTAGCCCATCAAGTCCCTGCAGCACATCCTGCCAACCCCTGTAAAGGTGAAGAAAGGACCCTTCTGAAATAGTTCTAACTGCTCTTGCAGAGGATGAACCTAAAGCAGACCTGCACCACCCTTGTTCAATTAAGAAGGAAATTATGTATCAAATCCCTAGAAACATAGAATGCCATAGCTGGAGACGGGCATAGACTGTAAACGCCTCATTTTACTGATTGAAAACACAGAGGCCCAGAGAGGGAAGTGACCGGCTGAAAGTCACACAGCTAGTGAATTGACAGAGTAGGGCCTAGAATGCATGTGGCCTTGAGCCAAGCTATTTGATTTCTGCTTCAAAAATGGCAACCAGTAAAACTTGTAGGAAATCTCCACAATCCAAGTAGAATAAAAGGAGGAAAAAAATAGACTACCAAGGAGAAATGAATAAATGTGCCCCATGGTGATCAACGATTAAATTTGGTAAGTTATCTCCTCAAAGAGAAGGCACATCTCACCAACAGCTATAGTAACATAAACCGTGGGTACACGATGGTGCGTGACAAGTATGTGGCAATCGCTAATTCAACTTGTGCTGGAGACACGATCTCTTAAATAATCTCACTCAGTGACTTCTAGATGGGAAGGGTCTGTCTCATTCATCCACACTATCCCAGAGGTCAGTGCCATTCCTGTGTATTCTAGCCCTTAATGGAGAGGCACGGGCCTAAACTGTGGCTCACTCTGGCAAATGATGTTGGCCTCCAGGCAGCCTGACAGGCTGACACGTTTTGCAGACTTGGAGGAGCTGTAATGGAGCCATGGACATTTTACAGGGAGCCCTCTTAGCCTGCCCTTGTTGCGTTAACAAAGCTCCACAAGAGAAGCTAAGGGTAGATTTGGAGGGTGTCACTAGGGTGGTCAGGCTGGTGAGGTCCTCATCCAGAAACACCAAAAACAGGTGTCTTATCTTGGTGAGCAGCGAAAGTAGCAGTAAAGGTAGGCACCCTCAAAGAAGGAGAGTAAGTGCTTTAACAAAGTGGAACACAAGAGGCACATCTGGCCTTAAAGAGGCGAGGCTAATGACAGAAGCTTGGTTTCCTTACTGGGGTGAGACTTCATCATCCGGGCAAAAGCCTTCAATGTCAGTCTAAGGAAAGGCCGCCTTCTGTAGCTCATTTGGCAGGGGTAGTGAGGGCGGGTGGGGGGGGGGTCATCTATTTTGAACAGTTCTTTCTAGAAGTGAAAGGGGTCGCTTTAAGTTACAAAGTCCTGATTGGGGGCCAGGAGGGTGAGAGGTCGGAAACCTTATTCTCTAAGATCTAATCGCCCTGTGAAATGGACCCAGAGATCACGGGGACCCATGTCCTTGCAGAGCCCAAGAGTAAAGGGGTGCCTGGGGATCTATGTGGGTACGTAGGTATCTGAAGCCGTTGGTGCAAAGTAGTTTATTCTCAGTTTTTCCAAAACCATCTTTCTCCCCATGTCCCCATCCAAGTGAGATCTGCTTTGACTCATGTGCTTTATAATTCCGAAGGGCTGGAAAATGTGTTTCTGTGCCAGAGAATCCCAATTTTAACAACAGCTGGATATAATCCTCCCTCGCGGGAGGGGTAGAGCCAGGACTGTGTCTGAGACCCAGGCAGCAGGATTTCTCTTTCGTTCGGCCCCCAGCTTCATCTGCTCGCCCACGGAAGGGTGACCGCTCTGCTTCATTACCCGTGTTCCACTCTGTTTACCGTACATCCTTGAAAGGACCTCTCTGGGGGGTTAAGTTATTCTGGAAGGATGTTTGATCCTGTGCTCTGCGAGGTGAGTTAAAAATAAACAGGTTTCTTTTCACGGAAGATCTTGTGGCCCCAGTGACCCGCAGGCTCCTCTGAGGAAAGAGTCTCCCCACATAAGTACTGGAGGTCACTGTCATCGGGAGAGTCTCTTATTAGTGCACACAGAGCTAATGGGTTTTGACAAGTGCCACCTCCAAGTGGAGCAAACACGTCCCACCTCGCGTTGGAAAATTACCTGCACTGTCTTCCCAATGAACAGGACAAGTAATTCATACACTGTAAATATTAGACAGCTTGTTCCTTAGCCATAACACTTAGCTTCAGGGTTTGGTATACCTAAACAACTTGCATCTAAAATGAAGGTGATTTATACCAAACCCAAAGGGGGTTTGTTTGTTTGTTTGAACTTAACCACACCTACCTCTAATTTTTCTTCCTGGAACCATGACTTATTGGAAAGAATTATTATGTCTAAAACTCCCCATTTCCTCAGTGACCACGAAATAAATTAACAAATTGACAGGAAGCAGGCAGTGTGGCCCTGGGACCCCGGCACATGAGGGTTACCAAAAATAAAGCCACGAATTCTGCCTTCAATAAGTTCACTGCCTAGTAGGGGAAACAGAACCATCCCTAGACAATGCACTGCTGCCCCGTGTGATGCTAAGCAGGGATCTGTAAAATGTCCAAAAAAAGGAAGAGGCCCGCAAAAGCTAGAGCCGTAGGAGAAGACTTGGGGGGAGTTATTGAAGCGGAAAACATCCAGGACCACCAGTGTTTCCATGTAAGTGTCCTCATTGCCTGGCATTCGGCCTTCCGACCGCAATGCGCCTCTGAGGGAAGACTGAGAATGAGAGCAGCCGATGGCCTCTAGCAAGGCGAGCTGAGCGTGTGATGGGGAAATTAGGTTGGGGAGTAAAACGCGTGAGACACTCGAAGGCAGGGGCCTCCTTTGAAAACAGAAGTGAAGTCTGAGTATGCGCTCAGGTGCACGTGCACCTGCACACACACCACGAAACAAAAGGAAAATTGCAAAGGGGCATCAAAATACCTGCCAGTTCCTGTGCCAGTGACTCTTCATGTAAGTGGCCGGGGCTGGGCACACCTCCTGACGTTGGACTAAGTCTCGTTACTACCACTAACCCATTGTACGACCTCAGACGAGTCGCTTTAGCTCCTCCCACGTTTGTTTCTTCTCTGTGAGATGATGACGTAGCCACTGCACGGTCTTTGTGAGCCCATGTAGCTATGCGTTTCTACGTTTTTAAGATTTGCAGACATGGCTGCCAGCTGTCAAGCATTTGGGCTCGCACGCACGGTCTGGCCACCGCGGATGGCGTTGGCTGCAGCCCGGGATGAAAGACCGGGTCTTGCCTGGCTCTCGCTGACTGACTGTTGCCTGTATATCTGCCTTGCAGATACTATAACAGACTTGTCCGAAGCCTCCTGGAATGCGACGAAGACACAGTCAGCACCATCAGAGACAGCCTGATGGAGAAAATTGGGCCCAACATGGCCAGCCTCTTTCACATCCTGCAGACAGATCACTGTGCCCAAACATACCCGCGAGCTGACTTCAACAGGAGGCGCACGAGCGAGCCACAGAAGCTGAAAGTCCTCCTCAGGAACCTCCGAGGTGAGGTGGCCTCTCCCTCCCACATCAAACGCACCTCACAAGAGAGTGCATAAGCGGGGAGAGGTGTTCCCAACCTCGCCCAACTAGTATCATTTTAAAGGTGTTCGCGCACCAACTTTGAGTGTACTGTGCCTGGTTTGATTTTTTTTTTTTTTTAAGTAGTTCCTATTTTCTATTCCCCTGACAGAAAACTGCATGAAACTAGGCTTCTGTAATCAATATCCCAACATTCTGCGATGGCAGCGTTCCCACAGACAGAATACGTGTGATCTTTCTGCCTCTCGGCAGGAGAGAGTACCCTTTTGATCACTTCCCTCTACCATGTCTTCTCCCGGGTCCCCTCAAACTACTCTCAAACACAGAGCATTCGCGTAAGGCCCAGTCCTTGTAATTGGAAGATGTGGAGGCCTTTTAGGATGGTTGCCCCAGTAGAGTTAGCTGATGAGAAGCAACTTAAATGCATGTCTTAAACGCTCATAAAGATGTTAAATGGAATTCGTGTGATGAATCTGTGCTGGCCATGGACGAATATGAATGTCGTGTTTGAATTCTTGATCTCTCATGAGCTAGTATCTTATGGTCTTGATCCTCTAGTGTGTCATTTCCTTTCCAACACATTTACCAAATTGCTCAAGCCTGGCTCTTCAACCAGAGTTTGAGCCCGCATCTTCTTGCATCTAATGAAAAACAAAAAGCTAACATCTTTATGTACTGTAACTGCTCAGAGCTTTAAAAGTACCTTTAACAATTGTCTTAAAACCAGAGAATCTTAAGGTCGAACTGTGGAATATAAATAGCTGAAAACTAATGTACTGTACATAAATTCCAGAGGACTCTGCTTAAACAAAGCAGTATATAATAACTTTATTGCATATAGATTTAGTTTTGTAACTTAGCTTTATTTTTCTTTTCCTGGGAATGGAATAACTATCTCACTTCCAGATATCCACATAAATGCTCCTTGTGGCCTTTTTTATAACTTAAGGGGGTAGAAGTAGTTTTACTCAACATCAAAACTTAAGATGGGCCTGTACGAGATAGGAAAAACCAACAGGTTTATCTGAAGGACCCCAGGTAAAATGTTAATCTCCCAGCCCACCTCAACCCAGAGGCTACTCTTGACTTAGATCTATCCTGAAACGGCTCTGTCACATCCAACTGGGAATTACGGGAACCAAAAAGAGCATCCCTTTGGGCTTGGACCACTTACAGCGTCATAAGGCCTACTCTATCTTGGGAAGTGGAATTCTTGTCTCACCGCCTCTCATCCGTGCCTGATAGCTCTGGCAAACCGATGACGGCATGGGAGACTTTCCATTAAATCGATCAGGAACGAGTCAATCAGCCTTTGGGTCTTCAGTTCCGGCGACTTGGGGCTGAGGGGGTATAAATAACCCTGGGCTGTCCAGCCTTAATAGACTCCTCTTACATTTTTGTCCTGTAGCACGCTGCCTGCCAAAGTAGTCCTGGCAGCTGGGCCATCTCTGTAGGATCGCAAAAAAAAATAAAAATAAAAAAATAAAAAATGTAAAAAAAAAAAAACAAAAAAACAAAAAAAAAAAAGAAAAAAAAAGAAAAAAGAAAAAAAAGAAAAAAAAGAGAGGGAAAAAAGAGCTGGTGGTTTGATTATTTCTGCCGTGATGTTTACAAGATGGCAACCACCAAAGCCAAATGACTAACCTATCTATGAACAACAGTAGTTTCTCAGGGTCACTGTCCTTGAACCCAACAGTCCCTTAAGAGCGTCACTGCCCACCAAAGGTCAATGTTGAGGGAGAAAGAGGGAGGAGGGGTAGGACTGCAGGGGCCACTCCAAACTCGCTTAGGTAGAAACCATTGGTGCTTGACTCTCACTAGGTTGAACTCAAGATTTGACCAAATCGAGTGATAGGGTTCCTGGTGGGAGGAGGGCGGGCACATCTCCAGAAAAATGAAAAGCAATACAACTTTACCATAAAGCCTTTAAAAGCAGTAACGCGCTGCTCAAGGACCAAGGGCAATCGCAGCAGACCCAGCAGCAAGAGCAGCACGGCGTTGCTGCCTTTGTCCCCACACAGCCTCTAAGCGTGCTGACATCGGATTGTTAAGAGCATTTTTATACTCAGAACTGTCCCATCCCCAGGTCCCCAAACATATGGACACTGCCTTAGCCTCTTGGAAATCAGGTAGACCACACGCTAAGTTGACTCTCCCCCTCCCGCCCTCCCCGCCCCCCCCCCCCCCCCCAGGCAAGGCTGACTTCTCTGAACCAGAAAAGCTACCCAAGTATGTGTGTTGTGTCCATTTCGCAAACCCACTAAGCCAGGACCCCAATGCGACAAGTAGTTCACGAGGATTCCTAGCCAAATTCTCTCTTACTTCAGTCCAGTAGGTTCTCTTTGTTTGCTGTGACCTCTTCAAACCGTGGTACCCCCCTTTTCTCCCCACAGCGATACTTCTATATGTATCTATAATACATATATCCACACGTATGGAAAGAAGCAGTTCTCACGATGTTGCTAGTTTTTTGCTTCTCTTGTCCCCATCCGACCCCACTCCTTCCGACTCCCCTTTAAACTTCCAAAGCTTCGTCTTGTGTTTGCTGCACAGAGTGATTCGGGGGCTGACCTAGACCAGCTTGCATGATTCTTCTATCGTGATTTGGTTGCACTTTAGACATTTTTGTGCCATTATATTTGCATTATGTATTTATAATTTAAATGATATTTAGGTTTTTGGCTGAGTACTGGAATAAACAGTGAGCATATCTGGTATATGTCATTATTTATTGTTAAATTACATTTTTAAGCTCCATGTGCATATAAAGGTTATGAAACATATCATGGTAATGACAGATGCAAGTTATTTTATTTGCTTATTTTTATAATTAAAGATGCCATAGCATAATATGAAGCCTTTGGTGAATTCCTTCTAAGATAAAAAATAATAATAATAAAAATAAAGTGTTACATTTTATTGTTTTTTTTCCCCAATGTCTTTCATTGTTATTCTTTAAAAACTTCTTGAATGAGACTTTCTGAACGTGAAGTTAACGGCCGATTGAGTTCTTTAAAGTCACGGATTAAGTGCCGATATGTAAACGGATGTAGTTTAAATCAACACTTGCCAAATTTCCTTAAGACCATTTGGTGGCTCCCATTCCCCTCAGAATAAAATTGCACCCCAGAGTCCTTCCAGACGTCAGAGAAGCTGGATGGTCTGGACACCACTCAGCTCTCCAGCCTCAAGACTCCCCCTTCCTTCACAGCAACGAACCCTGTGCTCCCGCAGTGCGGGAGCTCTGCTAAGGCTGTGCTCGGTCTCCCTTCCGGGCCTTTATTTGTGCCGTCCTCACTTTCTAGAAGACCTTGCCCTCCACCTTGTGCTCAGACTGGAAGCCCCTTTGTGTAGCCACTGATGTGGTCCCAGCACCGGAAAAAGCACCCAGGTGCAGGACACCCTCAATGCTTTAAATGAATGGCTTAGAAGGACTTCAGGAGAGAGGGGAAAAAAAGACAAATCAAGGTGACGAGAGGCAGATGGCTCTGTGGTGAGGAGGGACCCAGCTCCGGGGTCAGACTTCTGGGGTTTCAGTTCTGGCTCTGCCACGCGTTAACTGCATGATGTCAGATGACTTCATCCCGAAAGACATCGGTTTCCTCCTCTATAAAATGAGGAGAGTGGTAACTATCCATAGCACTATTAAAAGAACATACAGTAAGTGAAGTGCTTACGTGGCCAGTACGCGGTATTGCTCACTAAATCGCAGCGATTAGCATCCGAGGAGAGGGGATAGGGATAAAAGGAGGGAACTTCCCATGTCAAAAAACGGGGACGGGATTCACACTAGGATGACATTTACCTGAGTCTTGAAGGATGGTTACGAGTTCAGTCACAAAAAAGTGGGGGAGGGCTACTGTAGTGTAGTGTTTCCAAGGAAAGCTCTTAGATCGTTCGTTTGTCTGTTTGTTTCAATTCGTGGATTTTCTCTACATTTGAAATTCAAACACGGATTTTTTTTCTCACTATCATTCATTTCTGCCTCCAGACTGCATTTTTCCAAGTTCAGATGCACACAGGACAGCTAACAAATACTGCAAGAGTTGCCACTCTAAGGCCACAAACGTATGGCACTTGCTGTTCTCTGACCGGGCCCAGCACAAAGAATACATTGATTTCATTATGATCCTGCCTCCTCTGTCTTCTGTCACACCTGTCCAGGCAGAGAGGCTGTCCGCACTACACTTTAGTGTGCTATTTAAGAGCTGAGACCTGGGGCGCCTCGGTGGCTCAGTCGGTTAAGCATCCGGTTTCGGGTCAGGTCGTGATCTCGCGGTTCGGGGGTCGAGCCCCGGGTCGGGCCCTGTGCTGACGGCTCGGAGCCCGGAGCCTGCTTAGGGTTCTGTGTCTCCCCCGCCCCTGCTCATGCTCTGTCTCTCTCTATGTCTCAAGGATAATAAATTTTTTTTAAAAAATTAAAAAAATAAAAAAGACCTGAGATCTCCCCAAACTGAGTTCAAATCCTAGTTCCTCTGTGGCTTTGCGCCGAGTAGCTGACACCTTCATATCTGAGTTTTTTCAGCTGTGAAAATATCCCTATGAAACAGAGATAAGTAATCAGTCCTACCTCCTGGAGTCATGAGCATTAAATGAGTTGCATACAAAATACTGAAAGTGTCCAGCACAGAGCAAGTTTCCCCACAAATAGTATTTATTGTGCCCTCAACTAATGTAACTATCGCTCTGTACGTGAATACTATCACCATCATTTCGATTCTACTCCCACTCCTCACATGAGTCTTGAGGTACCACCTTGGTTCTTGTTCTGTTTCTTTTGTAGATCACTAAACATGACTGTTTAATCAAGACTTTATGAATTTGAATATAAAATATTACAACTAACCAAAAATGGCAGATTATAATACATGAACATCCGTATACCGTCACCAAGCTTGAGAAATAAAATAGCCTTAGGGTGCCTCGGTGGCTCAGTCGGTTAAGCATCTGACTCCTGATCTCAGCTCAGGTCTTGATCTCAGGGTCATGAGTTCAAGCCCCATGTTGGGCTCTGCACTGGGCATGAAGCCTACTCTTAAAGGAGAAGGAGAAAAAGAAAGAGAAAGAAAGAAAGAAAGAAAGAAAGAAAGAAAGAAAGAAAGAAAGAAAGAAAGAGAGAAAGGAAGGAAGGAAGAAAAAGAAAGGAAGGAAGGAAGGAAAGGGGAGGGGAGGGAGGAAGGGAGGAAAGAAAAGAAGAAAGAAAGAAAAAGAAAGAAAGAGAAAGAAAGAAAAGAGAAAAAAGAAAAGAAAATAGCATAGATAAGATATTCTCTTATGTTTGCCCTCCGGAACCCATTCACACAGTTATAAGAGTCCATGGAGCATTTGGCTGGCTCAGTCAGAAGAACATGAGACTCTAGATCTTGGGGTTGTAAGTTCGAGGCCCATATTGGGTGCAGAGATTACTTAAAAAAAAAAAAATCTTAAAAAAAAAAAAAAGAAAAGAGAGTCCATGACTAAAATGTTTTTGAAAAGCCATGGCTTAAAAGAATTTTTCCAATTATTGAAATACACACAAAAATTTCTTAAATTTCTATCAGCCTTTCAAAAATGGAGTTTTTGGAACTGTCTGTGAATCTGTAGAATAAGAGAAAGAACAGGTCAGGTTGCCCCTCCCATGGGACCTACATGAATGCCATAAGAGCTATTAGCATTGCTTCTGAATCAGTGTTTCTAGATTTACTGTATATACACGTCACCTGGGAATCTCATTAAAGTGATTCAGTATTTCTGGGTGATGCCCAAGAGGCTGCATTTCTAACATGCTCCCAGGTGATGCAGATGCTCCATGAGGGATGCTTGGAGTAGCAAGGTCCCGACTGTTTCCATATAACTGTGTCAGTTCCTCCATTCTAGAACCCTCCACACAGCCACTGCAAGGATGTTGCTGAAGCGCAAGCATGATCATTTCACTCCCTTGCTTTAGTAGCTCCCCCTTGCCTAGATGACAAAAATCGAGCATCTTGACTTCAAATTGAAACCCCTCAAAATCTGGGCCCTTCTTTTCAACACACACCCTAGGCTCTCCTAATGCTAACTTCTCACTCTTCCCCCAAAGACACCATTACCTTTTTCTGCCTTATTACCTTCACTCATGTCATGCCTTCTCATGAATATTCTTCTCCCCAAACTCCTTTTCATTGGCCAAAGTTCATGTCACCTGGGAAGCCTTCCCCAGCAGAGCCAAGCTTATAGCCAAGTGCACTGGAGAGGGCTTGCAAAGAGAGAGAACTTAGTCATCCTTGTATTCCGATGCTTAACACAAAGCTGGCATGCACTAAGCATTTGTGAGCAGAAGAAGGAAGGAAGGAAGGAAGGAAGGAAATCTTTCTATTACCCACCAACTAATCCAGGGCTTTTCCTCCAGTAGAATGCTGGGCCTTAGCAGCCATAACAGCATATGGATAAGAGGGCATGGAGTGCATATCGCCATGGTGAGTAGAGACATTAATTCCAGGTGCCATTTGGG